TGTTGATGGGACAGAAACTTCCATCTACAGATAACTATTATAAGGAATGTTGTACATGTTGTGGAGAGAAAAATATCTGCATTTCCAAGTCAATTTTATGTGATTGTAAAACTATTCATCAAAAATAGACTTCTTTTTTTTTAAAGGAGACTTTCATCTCAATAAAATCTGTTATAAATCTAGAGTAATGAAGATAACATAGAATTACATGACATATGACACTCAGAAAACTGGAACACTAATGCAGACTTATGACTACCCTGATTCAGGACAGTCACAGCCCCTCAGAAGGGGGTCTCACCTTTGTAACATAGTGCAAAGGTATTTGCAATCAAGAAATTCAATTTAATTCATTCAAAACATATTTTAAGTGAATAACCTTATATATGAAAAGTAAAATTTCAAAATATACATATATTTATGACCTTGAATTATGGATAAAAGTACTAAACAAAATTGAAAAGTATTGCCAGATCAAAATAAACACAATTAAGGTGTTTTATTGATCAAACCACAATATCAACAAAATTCAAGGCATAGACTAGGAAATATTTGTGCATATATATCTGAAAAAGGAGATTATACATTATATACAAAATACTTCCTCAGATCAACCAGCAAACAAATAGAAGCCTCATATTGGAAAAATTCACAAGAGACATGAACAAGCTCATCAGAAGACCTATACTGATGGCCAGTCAATGTGAAAGTGTGCATCACTTCATAAATGACAGACAAATGCTAATTAAATTTATATGTGAAGTCATCACACACTCACTAAAGTTCTAAAAATCGAGAAGACAACACAAATGCCAGCAGGGATATGAAGCAACTGGAACTCTTGTGCTTCATGATCTTAGATACACATGCAAAATGTTTGTGGTTTGGAGAAGCAAAGTAACCAAACCATAGTAGGCTTGGTTTCTGGGAATTTGGCCTATTTTATTTTTATCGAAGCTGAGCTAAGTAATATTATGAAAATTCAATGGATTGTAGAATTCTGACTTTTCCACCATTAGGGATGTATGCTATATTTCAAAGCATATATAAAAAGTGTAAAATTGATTTTATGTGTCCATTATCTTTAGTTACTTGAAAAAATCAAATTATAAGCCTACGCAAGAAAGCCAATTCATCCACTTAATACTCTTATGACAAAACATTAATGCCATCTTCGATTGTTCTAAAATTTATACTTACAACGAAAACTTATTTCAGCAAAATAATATTTAGAACTTCCAATTGTGAAGAACTGCGTGTATGAATTAAAAGGATACAGAAATATATTAAAATTAAAATTTGGAAGGAAATGTTAAAATGAAATGCAAGAACAAATAAGGACGCTTGGTGGCGCTCCAGGATAAGAGTGTGAAGAATGGGCTCTGCAGACGCCCAGGACACCATCTCGTCAAGCTGAGAACCAGAACTTTGGCTGCTGTCTGAAGGAGAAGGTAATAAGAAAGGTTTCTGGGAGAATTTGGGAAGAAGGTGTCTCTCTAATCGGATTTAGTTCAATATTTTCACGAACCCTGAGTGGATTATAATTGCCTTGAAGAAGCAGCGCCCTCCGGACTGCATCGGAACAATGGAGACAGCTGTAGCAAAAACACCAGAGAAAAGGCAAGTCGTTTTCCTTACTATGTTGCTGCTTTTGTGGGAGGCTGATTCTGAGGCGATTAGCTATTCCATGCCAGAAGAAACGGAGAGTGGCTACTTGGTGGCTAACCTGGCCAAAGATCTGGGGCTCAGGGTGGGGGAACTGGCCACCAGAGGGGCTCAAATCCATTCCAAAGGAAACAAAGAGCTTTTGTAGCTGGATGCTGAGACCTGGAATTTGTTCTTAAAGGAAAAACTAGATCGCGAGGTGCTTTGTGGTGTGACAGACCCCTGTGTGCTGCATTTCCAGCTCATTCTGGAAAACCCTGTTCAGTTCTTCCGAATTGACCTGCAGATCACAGACATAAATGACCATGCTCCAGAGTTCCTTCACAGGGAAATGCTCCTAAAAATTCCAGAGATTGTCCAGCCAGGGACTGTGTTTCCTCTGAAGGCAGCTCAGGACTCTGACATAGGGAGCAATGCTGTTCAGAACTACACAGTCAGCCCCAACCTCCATTTCCATGTGGTTACTCAGAGTCGTGCTGATGGCAGGAAATACCCAGAGCTGGTGTTGGACAGAGCCCTGGACAGGGAGGAGGAGTCTGAGCTCACTTTAACCCTCATTGCTGTGGATGGTGGGTCTCCTCCCAGGTCTGGGACCACAGCAGTTCGCATTGAAGTCGTGGACATCAATGATAACGCCCCCCAGTTTGTTCAGTCACTCTATGAGGTGCAGGTCCCTGAGAACAGCCCTCTCAATGCCTTAATTGTCACGGTCTCTGCCAGGGATTTAGATGCTGGGATGAATGGGAATGTAGCCTACTCTCTGTTTCAAGGTGGTGGAGTTTCTCAACCATTTGCAATCGATGAGGTCACAGGAGAAATTCGTCTGAGTGATGAGTTGGATTTCGAGGTAAATAGTCATTATAGCATAGAAATCACAGCCATGGATGGAGGAGGCCTTTCGGGGAAATGCACTGTGTCTGTACAGGTGTTGGATGTGAATGACAATGCCCCAGAGCTGACCATCAGAAAGCTCACAATTCCTATCCCAGAAAACTCCTCAGAGACTGTAGTTGCTGTTTTCAGTGTTTCTGATTCAGATTCCGGGGACAATGGAAGAATGGTGTGTGCTATTCCAAATGATCTCCCATTTCTCTTAAAACCCACTTTCAAGAACTATTACACTTTAGTGGCAGAGGGACCACTGGACAGAGAGAGCAGAGCTGAGTACAACATCACCATCACAGTCACCGACATGGGCACACCCAGGCTCACAACACAGCACACCATTACAGTGCAGGTGTCTGACGTCAACGACAATGCCCCCGCCTTCACACAAACCTCCTACACCCTGTTTGTCCAAGAGAACAACAGCCC